GTAATGAAGCTTCTTCAAAATTTTTTTTTATTTAAAAATTAACAGTTCACTCTAATTTCAAAATAATGTAAACATTAGATTGTAAAAGAAAAACATCTATTTTACTTCTGTGTGCTTTGAAGTTTCTGAGCCAATGTTAAGTAACAACTGATTGACCCAGGAAATCTACTAAGTGTGTAGATGAATAAAACACTGAAGGAAAAGACAATTGGGCTGGATTCTATATAAAACCTTTCATTCACTTATAAAAATTGATAGAATTAGCTATTTGAAAATTATAACTCTCCTACCCAACGTTGTGTGTGTACATAGAAACAAAAAGGCCAAAGAACAAACCTCTCTCTCTCTCTCTCTCTCTCTCTCTCTCTCTCTCTCTCGTGTGTGTGTGTGTGTGTGTGTGTGTGTGTGTGTGTGTTTGGTTTATAGTCATTGGAGGGAGAGGATTAGGCTCATGCACACTCTTTTACTTACTCCTTTAAGACAAAGTCTCTCATTCAACTTGGAGCTTGTTTGCCAGAAAGCAAGCACCAATGATTCCTTTTTCCTTGCATCTCCGAGATTACAGGCAGACAAAGCTGCCTGGCCATATCCAGCTTTTTATATGAGTGCTGAGATCTGAGTTCATAGTCCCATATTTGTGCAGCAAGCACTCTTAACACACTCAACCATTTCTCCAATCCCCTAACCTAGTTTTTTGAGACAGCGTCTCTCATTGGCTGAACATACCAACCAGGTCTCCCTATTTCCACCTCTATGCTTGACTTTAAAGTAGGCACTGGAAACCTAACTGAGGTCCTTATGCTTGCATAATAATTCTTTTTCTAGCAAGAGATCATGACAGTCCTACATTCTCATTTTTAATCTACATATAGGATAAAATGCTTTGAGAACCCCAGATGTAAATCAGAAAAGGAGGGAAAACAAAGACTGTTTCTAGAGGGCACCAAATAGAATTAGACTTTCACTAAGAGGTGACTGCAAAGAGAATTGCATTACACCTGGCTGACTGTATTGTTCTACATTTGGATAGTGTCAGAGATGAAAAACACAATCTTAGCTTCATTGTGTCTCCATGGAGACAGTGTCCCAGTGTGGCATACCAAAGGAACTATCCGGAGTTAAGTGGGCAGAGGTAATATAAAGTGTAAAATGAAACTTTAGGATCTTCAGCAAATAGGAAAGTAGGAGCCTAATCGTTATTGCTAGAGAAATAACCCGTGGAAGAGAGTCACAGAGAAATTATTATCAAATTTGCCAATAATCTCTAGAAGGCTGACTGAGGATCTGCTTCAGGCCTAGGTATATGTTAGATTTGAAATCTCCAGCTTTTTTTCTATAAAATCAGACTTTAAAAATTGTGCTACCCCTCACTGTCATATAAATGACAATATCATAAAACATAGGGTCCTGGATGCGGGTGCCCATCACGTAGCCTAAGCCAGACGCTCCATTGTATTATACTTAGTAGGGGGAGATGTCAGAAGCCAGCCTTGGCGACCCCATACCTAGTTAGAAACCAGAAAGGCTAGCTTACCACAGGAGATTCCGGATACCTGACTGAGAAGCAACTAACACCTATCCCCTCCCCCATTTCCTTAGTTAGTGCCTGAGATAACCACAGGAGATTCAGAATACATTTCTGAGAACAATTAACTCATCCCTCCCCCCACTTCCTTTTTCTCTGCTTCCTCCTTTCTCTATAAAAACTCCTTGGATAAATCAATAAACGGGCCTTGACAATGGAAAAAAAAATTGTGCTATTTTTCTAGTATTTTATTTATTCTTGTATTTTTAAATTAAATCTTTAAATATCCTCAGAAAAACTAAAAGAAATTTAATGCTAACTTTCACAGAAAAAAAATGAAATTACTTACATTTTTGTATACTATAAACATTCTCAGAAAGAAACATATTACTTAAAATGTGTTTTGCATGGGCTGAAGAGATGGTTCAGCAGTTAAGATAACTGACTTCTCTAATACAGGATGCATTTTCAACTCTCAGCACCCAAATAGTGTTGGGCCCTTCCCCCATAGGAGTCTGCTGACCAGCTTGTGACTAGGAGTTTACCTGGCAGGTAAACTTGTTTTCTTCCGTTCTTGAGGGCCTGAGTGCAAGTTCCTGTTATCCTGTTATTCACCCATTCAGATTGCCTGAGGGGCCTGGGAACCTGAACTTATTACCTGGGTAGTTTTCCACCATCCCTGCTGACTGGTATATAAGCCCCCACTATTGTTGGAATAAAGGAGCATTCTCCCTGCAAGAAAGACCTGCTGTCTTGTCTTTATTTAAATCCTCAAGCCCCTCGCCCTATACTGCGGAAGTGTTGTACAAAATAGAAGTTGACAACTATTTGTAACTCCAGTTCCAGGGAATCTGATATCAAATCTATCCTCCACAGGCACTAAACAAGAATATGGTGCACAGACATACATACAGGCAAAACATCCATACATATAAAACAAAATAAGTCTTTGAAAACCTTATAAAATGCCAGGCATTGGTGGCTCATGCCTTTAATCCCAGCTCTTGGGAGGCAAAGGCAGGTGGATTTCTGTGAGTTCCAGACCAGCCTGGTCTACAGAAAGAGTTCCAGGACAACTTCCAAAGCAATAGAGAGAAACCCTGTTTCTAGAAAAACCAAAAAAAAAAAAAAAAAAAAAAACCCTTATAAAATAACTTTTAAAATGTGTTTTGCTTATATGCATATGATTGGTTCTAAACAGTACAGTTTTTGCTTTAATGTAGTAGTTGTAACTTAAAATATAAATTAAGGAAGTGCTTATTTTCAAAAGTGACATTCCCAGAATTCTCCAAAGATATTTCCTTCACTTGGCAAAGAACACTAAATGGTCAAAAGCACTAAAATACACAGGAAAAGTGCATTCAGTATCCCCATTCTTCAATCAGTCTGAGGCTTGATGAAGATGATCAGGCATATTTTGGAAGCAGCAAAATGCCATAGATGTCAAGCTGAGTCCTGGGAGAACCCAGGTTCTTGTGTCCCAGAAGAAAAAATTATACCAGGGGCTCAGGCCCCATGGATCATATGTCAGAGTAAATGACATGAAAGAAACAAAGACAGCACAGCAAGGGAACACTAAATTGGTGTTTCCTTACCCCAAAGCCAGTTCTTTACTACTGCACCCTCACTCAGAACTAACTGACTTGTCAAATCCATGTGTTTAAGAGCCATCTTTTTCCAAGGAGAAAAAACAAAACAAAACTCTACCAACATTTTAGGGATGTGGAAATTAGCATAAATTATGCCATTAAGTGGTCAAACAGGTAAAATTCGATATAGGGATTTTGGGATAACTTCAGTCCAAAATGTCTTTGAGTTTCCCTAAGTGATAACATGGGTCAGATAACTGGTTGTTAGTATTAGTTGCAATGAATTGAACTGTTGCCTCTAGAAAACATCTAGGGGCTTTCCTTTATGCTTCTGAGATTTTATCAGCCTCAAACACAGACTTAGTCACTTAGGATTTGGGCTGTGTGAAAGTAAATAATGGAAAAATAGGCTGTGTGTTAGCCTTCATCAACATTTAAGGGAAGACAAACAATGAACATAATTAAAGGGAATCCAGATGCTTACTTAGGAAGGCTGACAGAACAAACAGCTCTCCAGTAAGTCTAACCAAAACTCTTAAAAGCAAGGCCCTATCATAGACAAAAGAAGAGTAGCTTTCAATTAGACAACTTTTTAATTGATTGATGAAAATGCCAGGACCACAACAGCACCATTCTCACTATACTCTTTTCTCCTCCAAGGTTCCTGATGTTTCAACTCACTCAGAGAACACTTGTGTCCATCTTGTGTGCTATGTTCACACTAGAATCTGTTCATTGATAGGCTTCAATTTCCCTCTAGGTTTGAGATAAGTGTAGCTTGTAAGTGGGACACATGTGTCCAGTCCCTGGCTGCTGGATAGATTTTGTTTAGAAGTGCTCATTTGTGAGCTGGGTTTCAGAGATTCCGCATCTGTCCAGCTGATACCTGCTACAGCTGGAAGAAGTTGACTGACTTGACTGACTGAACTCTTGGAAAGACTGCAACCTGTTTACCCAACAGAATTGTTGCTTCATAGTAAGAAGAAGAATTTCAAAAGTAAATATCCATCTCTATGGCCAGGGGTTGTGGCAAAGGCCTCCCAGCACTTGAGAGACAGAGGCAGTGGGATCTCTAAGTGTTCCAGGGCAGCTAGGGCTGTTACACAGTGAAACCCTGTCTTAGAAAAACATATATATCCATCCCTCTATGACCCAAAATGACACAGAACATGTATATTGTGGTATAATGTCTCCATCTCAAAACAGAGAATATTGGCCTTAACTTAAATGCCTTGAAAATGTTTTAACTTGCTGAAAGATGCAGGGGACCTAACATATACTTATTACTGGAATATATGTTTATATAATTCGATAAAAATTGGATCACATTACTTTTCTGGCAATCTGAAGAAATACATATATGTTATGTGCCTAGCAGAATCCATGTAATAATACTGTTGATACAAGTAGGTCTTGTGATAAATATCTCTGTATTAAATGCTTTCATTCTGTGTATGATATTTATAATTCTTACTGTTCTTAGAATTTGATATCTCTGTCAGTCATTTCCAACTCCTAGCATTCATCATCAAGCACTTATTACTTGTTACAAATGATTAAGCATATCTTCTGTGAGTTGACTCAACTCCAAAAAGTACCTGCTTAAATTCTTGTAGCCTCTGTCCTCGCTGTCCCAATTTAATGGATAAATTTGATCAAAAGCCATGTTAATATGAAATTTAAAAAGAGAAATAGAAATGCATTTTCTACAAGTACAGTATATATATTTCGGACATTTCCAGCAGGATTACCCAGATAGTAACTTCACTTAGTAGATCTCCCTGAATGTTCCTCCAATTAATTGATGAATATGGAGAAGACTAAATTATATTTTCTCTGCTTGGCTATAGTTTGTTACCATTGAATGGAACATATGAAAATCTCACCTCAGCTGAAACTTCTCCAGATTTTCCTCGGTAAGGAATTTCATATGCCTGCATCTGATGCTTAGTGAGTCCTGCAGACTTCTCAGCAAGTTCCCTCCAGCCTCTTCCAAGCTTAACAGCTGAGGTCAGAATAACAGCCTCTTGGATAAGACGAGCCACTAACGCTTGACAATCCATTTTTAGCAGAGCCTGCGGCAGCAAGTATTCATCATGCTTAGAAACAACTCATTGACTTTTTCCTTTAAACTGTAATTTGCATTATGTAGTCTAGAAATCAGAATCCCTTTCCCCATCACACATACAGTTGAGGTTTTTAAACTCAGAACAGTGATTTATATTCAAGAAAATTCAACAAGTAACCACAGTTACCATATATACTAAAAGTAGGGGAGTGTTAGTATAGCCTCAGTAGTTAACTATGGGATCATGGTTAAACCACTTTGCTAATAGATGTCTTAATGCCTTTAATTGTTAATAGAACAGTATCAATCCTTTTATCAGCACCAAAGGCTTATTCCTTGCCTTACCAGAGGATTAACACAGATCCATTTCAGCAAAATGTGACTTAAATTTTTCCTGGAATCATGTTTATTCAATAAATACATGATGCTCCTTTAATTCTGAACAAGGCTACAGACATTTCTGAATTTAAAACATCTGCCTCCATCAATACTAATATGATTCTGTTAACATAAACCACAAGGTAATAAAGGAAAACTCCTACAATGTGAAAATGGCATGCTACCAGACTCCTTTCCTTCGTTTTTGCACACTTGAACTTTCCCTCTATTTGTTTCAGTCAAGTCTAAGAGTTTCTTTGATTCTTAAAGTATATTTTTAAAATATGAATATATTCATATGTATATATGCAAATAAATCTGTAAACATGCTTGGCAGTTCTTTATTATGTAAGGGTACCTAGGAGTTTTATCTATCCATATGAAACAATAAATAAGGTTAAATTAATTTAAGAAGTCACCAATTAAAATCTACTATGTTTATCTCCATAAGATCTACAGTTAAAAGGACAGTTCATGAACTCTAGACACAAGTTCTATTGACCCCTCTTTTTATACTGATCAGTGGTGCCCCCGGTGAGAAGCAATACCAGGTGAGCAGGCCTGTGAAGTAAACTTGAGTTTCTGTAGCATGGCTTTACCCTGGCAGGGTACAATTTCATAAGAAGTATTTGCTATACTATTGCAATGCTTTGCATAATGGAAACGGAGACAATACCATTCTGCCTCATCTTCTAGAACTAAGACAAAACCACATGCTGAAGGGATTTCAGAAATGTTACATATTAAGTAGACAAAAGTAGTAACTCTTTACTTCTCAACTTGGTCCATCAAGACACAGTGCAAGAAAAATTTATATATAACACCAAGGATGCTTGAAGACACAACACTATACCATAATAGGATCAATTGCTTTGTTAACAGATGGCAAGCCTAAGCTTATTTTAGAAGGATGTCTTGATGGCACCACCGAGGCTTAGTGTTAGCTTTTGGGTTTATTAGGGCCCACTCTCTTGAATGGGTCTCTATCAGCATTGTCTAATCAAGGCATTCTATGATTTATTATGCCCTCTCCAAACTACAAGTATGATACGGCCTGAATTTTCAGATCATGAGGCTTAGATAACTTATTTTCAGCTACTAAGAAAAGAGAATTACATTATGTTTATAGTTTTTGAGTCTGTGTTGAATATCTGAGTTACAAAAAGAAGCTATTACAAAATGAATGTATAGCTTATACTGAATAGCAAAGCTTCTAGTATTCAGTCATCTAGGCCCACAGCCACTGAGAACACAGCATCTCATAATAAAACTATCTACTCACCAACTAGACAGTGCACTTCCTAACATGTACTTACAAAAATATTTCATGCCACCCCTCCACACATTATTTGAAGGCAGCGTTAGCATCTTGCATTTAGAATGCATTAGCTACATTCAGACATTCATATTTGAATCTTCTTTTAAAATGTCATCTTAATTGGGAGGCAGAAGCAGGTGGATCTCTGTAAGTTCAAAGCCAGCCTGGTCTACAGAGTGAGTGCCAGGATAGGCTCTAAAGCTACATAGAGAAACCTTGCCTCAAAAACTCAAAATGTCATCTTGATGATATATTGTTACTATAACATTGGATTTCTATTTTAAATCCAATTATTTATAATTCTCCACAAGGCTTTTAACTTGGGTAACTACATGCTGAAAACAGTTGACCCTGGAGAATTATATTAGAATATTAAATACATTATTATCAGAATCACTGTTGGGTCATGAAGTATTACTTACAGAGGAACATTAAACTGATGAAATAATGGATAATACTTATGTGTTTGAAGAAAATAAACATTGAAAAATGAGCCTCTATAAGGCCAGGTATTTTTGTTTGTCTGTTTTCTTGACTTTCATGTTTTGGAGCTCCTATGATATTTGAAGGGCTGTCTAAATATTTGAGAATAGAAAAATTAATCTCTAAAAATTTAAAAGAAAAGGTCCAACAAATATACAACCTTCAAACTCTCTTTAAAAATGATCCTTACAGACATATTTTCTGAGAAAATCATGATTGACTATCAAATAATGAATCCAACATTATGACCTTGTAGGAAAAGCTCCCTATTTTTTGTTCAGGGACTTCAATGTATTTGAGACTACTAGTTTTTCATTTCACCTCTTATGTTTGTTATAAATATCAAGTTAATGAAGTTCTCTAAAATGAATTATTATGATCAGTCAATACTCACCACAATTAGTTCATAAAGAAACTTCCTGGTACTTCTGTCTTCGTGGCAATCTTCCTTTAACTTCTTAACAATATAAGAAACCCTTTCTGGTTCCTTGTCTGCTTCAATTTGATCAAAATCTTCCTGTGCCAGATGTGAGTATCCCAGGACATTAGCTAAAACTTTCCAGTCATGAATGTTTTCTGACACCAGGGTCAATACAACAGAATATATATATGTCAGATTTTTAAATGGCAAGGCAATTTGCTCCAAAAGATTCTTGGTTGTCAAAATACTATCAGACAAAGACATTACTTGTTCTTTGGAAATCACCTTGACATTTTTGCAATGCACAAGTCCGATCTTACCCCGAAGTACCCCTACATACCATTCTTTCACCTTGGATTGTCCAATGGATCTTACAGTGCCTTCTCCAAGAAGGGCAATTATATCTCCCTTTAAATACTCAAGTAAGTATTCAATCTTTCTTTGCCTCAATACTGTCTTCAGTGTTACCCCATAATTGGTAAAGGTCACTTTTTTATCTTGGAAAGTAGGGTAGTAAGCAAGCCCTGTTGATAACAAAGGCACTTTCTTGCCTTCTCTCTCCTTCTGGAAATAGCTCTGCAGATGTGAGAGCCGTTTTAGGTTTGGGGCTGGATCAGGTGAAGTGACAAAGAATTGTGTGATTGGTTTTCCATTGGGAAGCTCCACATGAACCCGGAAAACAAACAAGTGCATCTCTCTGTGGTCAACTGAAGAAAAGAAAACTTGTTGATGAACTACTGCACCTGCTTCCAATTGCCTTTGTGCAATTATTTTCCTTTCTTTCTCTAACTTTACTTCAAAATCAGGGTCACATGAAAAAGCTGAAATAATTAAATCTTGTGGCTTGTCAAGTAAAAATGAATGCTTCCCCCAGAGATGGAATACTACTGGAGATGTGTGTTTTCTACCCTTTCTAATGTCAGAGACTGTAAACTTTCCTGGCATATAGTTGTGTCCACAAACTGTGAAAACAGCAGTAAAACTTGGATGGATATATTTGGGTCCATAAATTCCAATGGAGGTGGTTTTGTGAATGTAATCCCAAACAGTAGTAGCTGGTGGCTGAATGGCCTTAGCTTGTACAGCTACGATTATGTACATTATCTGACTCAGATCCATAAACTTTGCTTGGATGGTGTCTTTGTAGAAATAGCAATTGTTTATTGCTTGGAAAGGGCCTTCTCTGCTCTGGCTGTGTAAACACACCATTTTTGTCATGACTTGGCTCAGAGGATCTGTTTTTACTTCTGCTCCAATTTTCATCTCCAGCATAATAGCTCCCATGGTCTTGAGGTTGCTTAACCTGATTTCCAACAGAGGGCTTACAGTACAGGAGTGATCATGGTTCAGCTTTGGTGGAGGATCCAGAAATGCTCTCAGAGATACCTCCTGGAATTCTCCTACAGCTATGTGTCCTTGGGGTACATGAACAGTGATATCTGATTCGGGTAACTGGACTGACCCTCCTTGGTGATTTAATTTACAAACTGCAATGCTCTCTGCAATTTGTGTTTGAGCCCACCCGGGACTCTGATTAATCATATTCAGATCTAGGCAAGATCGGGCCAGCTGACGTTGACTTAGCCAAGCCATTTTGTATGCTTCTCGGTCATTTTGAAGCCATTCTAAGTCTTGTATTAGGATCTGGTCAGAGATATGCATACTTTGATGAGTATGTGTTGTATCATGTAACATGTCCAGGAGTTCTGAAACACTCTTAGATCTTCCCGACTTCCTTGAGGAAGATGGCCTAAGCACTTGATCTATGTCAAGTTCATCACCAGAGGAATCAAAAGAATTCCCTGTTTCAATTTGCCTTAAAAAAAGAAAAGGATCTTCCTTCAAAATGGACTTATTATCTCTCTTTTGGTTATTTCTTAGCTGAGTGATGTCATCCAGAAATGGGTTTGAGGCAGACAGCTCATTCCAGAATGGATTTGTAGCTTTGGCAACACTATCACCATGGTGAGTAGAAGCTTCTGGCCAGTTGTGAGGCAAGCCTGGCCCTTGGCATGCTTGTTGTTTAAACAAAAACAAAGCAAAAAAGGAAGTGAGAGTCTGAGATAAAACAATGATTAATTTATTCATACCTTAAAAATTCAAAACTTACTTTAAGTATTGATTTTTGATGCTGCTGTCCACTATAAGCTCAGTAGTTAGTAATGTCAATTTGTTTATAATGAGGAAAGGGGAATTTTATACTGTTATTTTGAGTACAGTTACATTAATATTATCTTAAGGTATCATGAAATATAAAGTAAATGACTGCTGAGTACAGTAGATAACTACATATAACAATACACTATTAATATACTTAACACATTTACTTATACTTACATAAAGTTATACTTTATTATTTTATGTCTCATTTGCCTAAAAGAAACTTCTGAAAAAATAGCAATCATCCAGATTTTTCTAAAAACTGAGCTGTTGGTTTCATATCAAAAAAATTAATTTGATGTCTTTCTTTTCAAAATATCAAGGGATATCAAACATATCCATACATGCCTGAAATAGTTTTCAAAACAATCTTCTAAGTTAAAGTTACCATTATTTATTTTCTGGTAACATTGTATTAATAAATTTAACATTATATTTTGTAGATATGTGAAAGACACATTAAAAAAAAAACAGACTGACAGTGAAATTACTGCCTGCAGGAATTCACTGGACTTTTTGAGAGATTTTAATGATAAAATATGGGATGCCACTAGAAACAGAAACACTTTATTTCTCTGGAAAGGGCTTGAAAAGCACATAATAACATTCTTAAAACATCCCATGACATCAAGGTCATTTTATGTTTAGAGTGGCTTTTGTTTGGCTCTTTCATAGAAACTCCTAGTCACATACATGAGGACTTTGAGCATATGATATGGCTTTAGGGTCAATGAAAGCCACAATGGACAACTGAGTTACTTTTTTCCCTAATATTCATAGAACTTTTATTTTGCTTTAAGTTAGTTATGCTACTTTTTAAAAGGTATAAGATGGACTTTGAAATACAGAAATAGTATTTCTCCTACTATCATCTGTAGGGAGCCGTTCCTGCATTCTCCATTACAATGATGGTGCCTGCAGACACCAAATGTAAATTACTTCACAGGCGCTGGGTAATTTCCATTCCTTTGATCTCTGCCTATCCCGTGGCTCATTTGGCCTGAGGAGCTGAAGCCATTCATAGGGTAACACGTCCCAGGCGGCTGCTTGCCAGCCTTTATTAAGGAACGGGATTCTTGGTTCGGGGTCTCCGCTCTGGTAAGCTTATGCTCTCCCACTCTCAAGATGCATTAAAGCTTTCCTGCAGAAGGATCCGAGTGTCCTGTATGTTTCTTGCCGGCGAGAACATATAGCGCGCGGGACATCTGGTGCCGAAACCCGGGAACTTGTTAACATCTCCGGCACCTCGGAGACCCCTCTAACGGGGCGGATTCAGAACTGCA